ATAACTACGTATTCAAAACACCATCCGAGCAATCAGAATTAAGCAAGTTCATATGAACCAATTTTCTAGAACCCACATTATGAGAAGTTAATTAACCTAATAAAGGAAACCTGTTTTCTACAAATTTGGGGTATATTTCCATTGTGGGTGGGAGTGTGGCTAAGCTGGGCCAGCAGCACCGCTAAGGTGACCCTGCTGGGGAGGCGTCCCTGATGGATTAAAGTACCCTGGTCCTGCTTCTACACCTGACAGATACCACCCTGTGTGGTGTTGGGGGTTGTATTTAAAGGGATTAGGGAGGCTAGGCCAGCACCAGAGCTAAGACAAACCTGCTGAGCAAACCTCCCCGGCAGCTGTAAGCATCCCACCTCCTCTCCTACACCTGACAGGCAGTTGCCGTTCCAATGTAGGAGAGGGAGAGGGAGGGGGAGGAGTATTAGAAGCCACCATGGAGGTGGGGCTGGCAGGATCACTAAGGCATTACTGCTGGGTCGGGCTCCCTCGTGGCTTTAAGCACCCTGCAACCGCTGCTGCACCTGACAGATAACCACCTGTTAGGTGTAGGAGGTGGGGTGAGTGTGTTGGAAGCCATCAGAGAGGCTGGGCCAGCAGCATCGCTAAGGTGATCCTGCTGGGGTAGCGTCCCTGATGGATTAAAGTACCCTGGTCCTGCTCCTACACCTGATAGACACCAGCCTGTCTGGTGTTGGGGGGGTTATGTTTAAAGGCATCAGAGAGGCTGGGCCAGCAGCAGGGCTAAGGCAATCCTGCTGAGCAAACCTCCCCGGCGGCTGTAAGCATCCCACCTCCTCTCCTAAACCTGACAGGCAGCTGCCTGTCCAGTGTAGGAGGGGGAGGGGGAGGAATATTAGAAGCCACTGTGGAGGTGGGACTGGCAGGATCACTAAGGCTTTACTGCTGGGGCGGGCTCCCTTTAAGCACTCTGCAACTGCTGCTGCACCTGACAGACAACTACCTTTTAGGTGTAGGAGGTAGGGGGAGTGTCGGAACCCATCAGAGAGGCTGGACCAGCAGCTTTGCTTCACCTCACAGACGGTTGGCCACTCCTGATTTCCTCAACTGTCATTAGCTCTCTGCAGTCCCTTGTAACTGTTTTTTTTTTTTTACCTCAGAACTCTGAGCTCTGCAGCTGACCAATCAGAGAGTGAGGGGGTGCAAGGAGACAGCCACCTGGCAGCCACATAGGAATCAATGGGGGGAACACATTTTACCCCTTTTGACCCCCTTAGAGGTCGAATTTCTAAAAAGCCCTTCTTAGTGAGCATCTATGCCATGGTAGGAGCACTCCCCAAATTTGATGTTTCTAGGTCCAGCGGTTTGGCCTGGGCATTGATTTTACCTCTCTTCTTTTCTTTCTTACCTGGGCTTGAAGCTGTAGCAAGATAATCTGTTCACAATAAGTTAAATGAATATGTCATGTAAGATGTACCTCTATTTTTGTAAGTAAAATTTCTTTCTCTTGTTACCACTGCAGTCGGGAAAATGTAGAAGATCGGGAACACTGCATAAGGCTTCTGTGCTTCCAAGGTATATATATATATATATATTTTACCCAATATTATCAAAGCCAGTTTCTCAACAGAGGGAGATCAGTGGGAATGTGCTGCCATAGAGTCTACCCTCTGAAGCTGCCATTTCCTCCAGGGGAACTGATCTCTGCCGTCTGGAGATCAGAATTCCAGGCCCCACCTGGAGGATGGCAACCCTAGATGGATCGCTGACATTTTCACTTCTGGCTGACTATGGTGAAAGGAGTAATATCTGGGGAATGAAAAGTATTATGTGGTACCGTAGAGGAAAACTGACTGTAGCCAATGTACTACTTCTTGTACCCTGATCTGCAGAAGGTGACCTCCATGAAATATCTAATTGCATCTCCATCTACAAAAGCTATTGTGGTGAGCTCGGCTTACTAGATTTTGTAATGTGCCAGAAAATTATTGATAAAAATCTGGAAGATCTTCAAGATTTCAGAAATATCAACCATTAGAATTAGAAGCTTCAATGGTCTTGATTGATGCAGAAGTGCACTGACCCAACTCCAAGGATTTCGGGTGATGGGGTGCAGCTCAGTGGTAGGTAGAGCATCTGCTTAACATGCATAAGGTCCCAGGTTCAACCCTCAGCATCTCCAAGTGAAAGGACCAGGCAGCAGGTGATGTGAAAGACCTCAGCCTGAGACCCAGGAGAGCTGCTGCCAATCTGAGTAGACAACACTGACCTTGATGGACTGATAGTCTGTTTCAGTATAAGGCAGCTTAATGTTTTATAGCTGTGTTTTTATATCTGTATTTGCTGGCGGGAGGGCGGGGTAAAAGCCCAAATAAATAAATAAATAAATGTGTTAACCTGTAGCATGGCAGTGACATCCCCATGACAGCCCAACAATGCATGCCAATGCTGGCTCACCTCCCTGACACCATCCTGCCTCCACACAGAGAACACAACATCATTCACTGTAGGAAGGGCTATGGCATGCCCATGAGGAGCCCTGTGGCTGCCACACTTCTGTGGGCGGGGCATATGAATCCACTTTTGCAAATACATTTCCCTTTGACTGGCAGACACTCAGGGAAGGAAGCATGGCCATTCTAATGGTATCCCCCCGCTACTTGCAGAGCTCACTCGGCTGAGGAAACCCCAAAGAAGTCCACACCCTCTCCAGGCAAGGGTTCAATTTTGGGCAGGGGAACAATGGTCTGAGGAGCATTTTTTTTTTTTTGCACGACAAGGAAGCACAGGCTCTAGGAGGAGAATGCACAACTGCATATTCACCAGAAGGCATTTGTGTCGCAGGCACGGATCATTTTGTTTAGCATACTTTGCTGGCTCAGGAGGTCCATTGCCACTGCTGCAATTCATCTCAGTAACCCTTGTTTTCTATCTCCCACCCCATTCTGTAGCCTCCAGGGTTTATCACCCACCAGGGGGATTGTAGAGCCTGTTCCTCCCCCTTGCCAGAAAACAACCCTGCTGAAAGTGGCACCCCTCCCAGGGCAAGTCCCATGATGCTGAAGACTGCTGAGGTTAGTCCTGAGTGGAGGGGGATAGATCCCCAGGGGACAGATCCATTTTTGTGCAAACCCAAATTATATCCCCATGGTTGTTTTGGCTATACATTGGTGGAGGGAGGGCCATAGACACCTCCTAAGAGCTTTGGAGGAAAGGGGTTGTGACAGGCAGTTTGTCACAGGGGAGAATTAAAAAAAACATATATCATGTAACAGCATAACTACCATATAAATATATTACATATGTATATTAATGCATATGAAGGGGGGAAAGAGAGAGACTCTGGGACTTTTTTGTTTAGAAAAAAGATAATGTATGACATGATAAAGGTTTATGAAATTGTGCATTTATTTACTTTATTTATACTCTGCTTTTCTTCCTGAGCCCCACCTGGAGGGTGGTGGTGACCCCAACCCATAACACTAAAACTCTCAGGGGCACCCAATGGAGTTCATGGGCAATGGGTACAGGACAGACAAAAGGAAATTCTTCTTTAGTCAATAAGCAATTAAAAGAAGACTTGCATAATTTTCCTCTTCTTCAGTTTATCCTTACAACAACCCTTTGAGGTAGGCTACACTGAGGAAGTGACTAGCCCAAAATCACCCAGCAAGCTCCCATGGAATAGAGGGGACTTGAACCTGGGTTTCCCAGTTCCTCATGTGACCCTCGAACCACTCACCACACTAAATAAATTATGCATGGGATAGACAAAGTGGCTAGGGGAGCTTTTTCTCCCTCTCCCGTAATTAGTGTTGTCAGCTCTGCACTGAGAAATACCTGGAGATTTTCGGGATGGAGCCTGGGGAGGGACCTCAGCATGGTACAATGCCATAGACTCCATCGTCCAAAGCAGCCATTTTTTTTTCAGGGGAACTGATCTTTTTTGTCTGGAGATCAGTTGTAATACTGGGAGATCTCCAGGCCCCACATGGAGTGTGTATGAAAAAATATATAACACTGTGTGTGATAAATGCATACTTAAGGTATATCTATTTTGTGCTTTTTATTTTTTAAAAAATGTTTCTATACTACTTTATAAATATTGGTGTCAAGTATTTCAAAACATAGATGCACCACAACAATACATCAAAGTGCAGGTTAACACTATACCCAAACAGCACCTTGTCAATTTCACAAACACTGATCCCACCCGACTCTAGTAATTTATCGGTATGGAATACAATCTTTTTCAAGGACAGTGATATACATACAAGGCACAATAAATCCTCTTTGTGAGTACAAGACTCCTAAATAGCAGCATTTTTCTAGGGTCCCTTTGGAACCTTTGTGGCAAACATAATAACTTATGCAGGCCACACGGGCCTGATATTGCGGGAGGGGAGGTGTGGCTAATTACACCGGCGCAGTTTGATCCATGATTACACGATCAGACGTGCCAGCGGCACACCACGGGTCCTTCCCTTGGCGACGGCAGGTAAAGGAAGGGAATGCCGTGCACTGGCGCGACACCACGGGAGTCTGGAGGTAGCCCGTGGCAAACGTTTACTAGTACCTTGGAACCTGGAGGTACTAGTTTTTTAACTCGCAGGCCTTTGCCTCTGTGACTGCACAGAGGCAGTGGTGTAAGCTGTCCCAGCAAAATAAAAAGTCCACTTGCACCTTAAAGACGGACAACTTAAAAAAGGACAACATTCTTTCCAGCATGAGCTTCCCTGATCCCCGTAGTTTGGAGATCAGCTGTAATTCCGGGAGAACTCCAGCCCCACCTGGAGAATGCCAACCGCATTTACCACAGCAACTGGTTGGGTACTGTTCTAAGCAGAATGCTGACTAGATGAACCACGGCCCATAATCTTGAGCAAACTACAACTCCCAGCAGGCAGCGCAGCCGCTTGCGAAGCTGGTGGCTTGAGCCCGCCTCCTCGTCGACTCTTGGAGGCTGATGTGATTGGCGACTAGCGGTGATCAAGGAGGCTGGGCGGCTCCCGCGAAACGAGTGTGTGTGTGGTCAGGGTAGGTAGAGCTGTGCAGAGCAAGGGACCGGTTGAGAAGGTGAGCGTGCAGGGAATAGAGGTGGCATTGGGGAGGGTGGAGTTTCCCTGGCTGGGAGGGTTGGTGGGTGCACGTATATATGTATGCATAGAGTGGGGGCAATGCCAAGGTGGATCGCAGTCCCCTCCCCGCTGTTCCTGGGAGTGTTGGTGTTGGGTGGTACCCGCCTCTCATCTCCCCCCCCCCCCCGGGTTTAAGGGTGAGGGGAAGACAGGTTGCTAGTGGATCAGAAAAACCCCAGCCCCGTCGGCTCTTTTGCCCTAATCTTTAAGTCTGCAGGGATCAGTGCTTTCACCGGATGGAGCGAAATGTGTCTGTTCCAGGTAAAGGTGCTTTTCGGGCGGGAGGTGGGGTCAGAGGCAAAAGTTGGCAGCGCTGGGAGCCAAGTCGCGCTTAGAAATCATACCATCTGGTTTGGAAGCCCTCCCTTCCCTCTAACCTCGCAAAGATTCAGTAAGAAAGAAAGTGCACTCTGCACGTGCTCAGGAGCACTTTTCTGCTGGTTTTACTTTGGATGTGCCGAGGCTGGAACTTGACACCAGTTAAATCATCTTAAGAGGGTGGTGATCAGTGGTGAGAAAACAGGAGGGCAGTTTGTGCTACTTAATATCTGACAGGAGAGTTTTTGGAAATCACACATGCTTGGAAGACTCTCCCATAATCCCAGACGCATGTAGGCTGTTTGTGGTTAGCCACAGGGACAGGAAACCCTGTACAGGCATTGAGGCACATGCATGGCCCATAGATCCCCAGGATAGGTCCTGCAAGACTGACCTCGCTGGACAGCTCCAAGTACTCCGATAAGAGGAAAGGATGTGCTTTTATGCATTCGTAAAGAGCCTGCTTCAAAGGGGAGGGAGACACTTGTTGAGCTCTGCCATTCTGTGGTTACAGTTCCAGAGGGTTTTCCGTGTTTGTCTGTTGTAGCATAAGTAAGCAGGTGTCTCTGTGGCAATTTAAAGACTTGACAAGATTTTATCCCAACATGAGCTTTTGTGGACTAGAGCCTACATGGTCAACTTTTCCTTTGTGCTATTTATCTTGATAAAACCTAGATTCCACAGCCATTTCTGGTGTAAGCCAGTTTAGTTAAACTCAAGAAATGGCCAAGAACAGCTGTTGTGATTTTGTGGAATAAATTTTGCATAATTGCATCTCACCCTGTACTTCAACCGTTTCTATTTATTCTTTTTAAAAATATATATAAATGTTTTCACCAAGCTACATCTGACAAAGTGGGCACTAGTTCACAAAAACCTTTGGAATAAAATCTCATTCATTTTTAAGATGCCACATGACTAAGTGCCACTATCCTATGGTCATGTATGTTGCCTGCCTTTGATTGCTCAGTTTCTAAGGTGAAAAATGCTGCAGCTTCAGTCTGGCTGGAAGCTTTACCCTCTAACTTGGAAAATGTTCCCTACAATCCATATATGTATGGTTATTCAGAGGTTGAGGAAATGCACCCTGTACATGCTTAAAGGTAAAGGTTCCCTTGCTCGAAAGCCAGTCGAATCCGACTCTAGGGTTGCGGTGCTCATCTCCGTTTCAAAGCCGAAGAGCCAGCGCTGTCCAAAGATGTTTCCGTGGTCATGTGGGCGGCATGACTAAACACCAAGGCGCAGGGGATGGTGTTACCTTCCCACTGAAGTGGTACCTATTTATCTACTTGCAATTTCTTGCTTTCGAACTGCTAGGTTGGCAGGAGCTGGAACTAGAGACGGGAGCTCACCCCGTCATGTGGCAACTCGGGTCTCGAACTGCTGAACTACCGACCTTCCACAGCCCGCAGTTCAGCGTCTTAACCACTTGAGCCACCACAGCTCCCCTGTACATGCTTAGGTACTCCCTATTTTACTGCTATTGAGCCCTTGCTTCTCCAATGCCCAACACTGTATATTTGTTATATAGCTTTCTGGTTGCCCTGTCCATAGATGTACGTGCAGTTCTAAAAACTGGTGATGACTGTATCTTGCTTTTTGTGTGTGTGGAATGAGAAGATGGAGGGAAGATGGACTGTCGGGCTGCCTCTTCTCTACATACCTGGCTGGAAAGCACTGCTTAAAGCCAGGAAAGGTTTATACCGGGGTGTCTGACTTGAAGATGACAATGACAGTTTCGTAGACTGTTGTGGCCTCTTGATCTCTGTGTCTTGGTTCTCCTGCCTGCAAAATGGGTGCAGTGGTACAATTGTGATTGTCAGCTTTATTCTGGTAATGACAAAGGACCAAGAATGCCCCCCCTCTGATCAGTGGACAAATGTGTAAGAAATGACTGGTGAGGTGGTTTTGGATGCTCAGGTAGTTATGCCATTTTTGTTGGTGGCAGGGACTTCTTTCTTGAAGCAGTTAATTTATAAAACACTTGGGGTGGATCAGTCAGGGGCAACTGGTTGGAAAGGGGAATGGAACCTGGAAGGGATGGTGGATGAAAACACGGCAGGAGAGAAAGCAATGATTCTTTCCTTGAACCGCTTCCCTTTGGGGTGGCTGTTTATCCTCTGCTGGCTGTGCTTAAGATTCTTTGTTCCTAGGCCTGGTTGGCTTTTCCCTGGAGGGTTATGCTGCAAAAACCACATGGTTGAGAGGAGCTAGATTCTGCTTCGGTCCTAATGCCCCTTGCATAAGCAGGTCACCTTTCAGAGTTCTGCGTTCTCCGGGGATGAACGTTGGAGGGTCAAGATGTTAATCTCCTGGCAGTTCCAGCCTTTCTCCTCTACATCTGTATTCTGCAAGCCTATTAATTAGGTCTCCCTCTCCAAAGCCTACTTTCCAACTCCATTTTAAGAACTCATATATTTGATCTCCTCAGGTAGTTGTGTGTATAATTGTGGAAGGCAGGGTGGATCTTAAAGCTAGAAAGCTACATCATGGTTTTAAGAGGGCTTCCACAAGCGGAGCGTTCTTCCACTAGGAGTGCTCATGGGCTGCTAATCTGTTATCATTAACAACATATGCCATAAATAAGTGCACATTTCATCTTGGAGTGGTATCATGAGGGGGGTAGTAACATCTGCACAGCTGCTGTCACACACAGCTGCTGGCCAGCTCTCCTCTTTGCTGGTCATCTCTTTCCAGGGTTGTTGAAAATATAGTCGGGGTGAACGTTTAAACATGTTTGTTGCTTCTCAGGCCAGGCAGTTATTTTGCTGATGTTCAGTTCTACCCCAATGGCTGAGCACATGTCTTGAACACAACAGATTCAGGGTTCATTCCCAGTTAAAAGGGATCTTGGGTAGCAGATTTCGATCTAGACTAGAAAGATGAGTGGTCTGGCTTGGCATAAGGCAGTTTAATTTGTAAACACAAAACAAATGCTGTCTTCTGTGTGTGTGTGTGTGTGTGTGTGTGTGTGTGTGTGTGTGTGTGATGTGCCATCACGTTGCTTCCAACTTATGGTGACCCTATGAATTAATGACTTCCAAAATATATCCTATTGTTAATAGCCTTGCTTGGGTCTTGCAAACTGAAGGCTTGTGGCTTCTTTTATTGAGTCAGTCCATCTCATGTTGGGTCTTCCTCTTTTCATGTTTGCCTTTACTTTTCCTAGCTTTATTGTCTTTTCCAGTGAATTTTGCTTAATATAGGTGGGAAGATCAGAAGGCTAGAATTTCCTGAGATTTATTGTCAGGGTGTGGATTGTTATCTAT